AGGCTTCTTCATCCAATCTTTCTACGGAGACCCATACTGATGCATATCATGAAAATCAACTTAGTCCGAATGCTCAGGAGGCACAAGAAACCATTACTGTTGGAGTCACCTCGCTTTCTCTGCCTGATGTTCCTGTCAATTCAATGGCAAAAGAGGCACAGAAAGAGAGAAGCGGTGTTTCTACTTCCACAGAAACTAATAAATATGCATCTCATGAAGTTCCAGTTAGTTCAGATGCGCAGGAGGGACTAGGAATGGTTACTGTTGAAGTCACCTCGCCTTCTCTACCTGATGTTCCTGTTAATCAAATGGCACAAGAGACACAGGAAGAGAGTAATGATGCTTTTACGTCCAAAGAAACTAATACAGATGTATCTCATGAAGTTCCAGTTAGTTCAGATGCACAGGAGGGACTAGAGATGGTTACTGTTGAAGTCACCTCGCCTTCTCTACCTGATGTTCCTGTTAATCCAATGGCACAAGAGACACAGGAAGAGAATCATGATGCTTCTACTTCCACAAAAACTAATAGAGATGCATCTCATGAAGTTCCAGTTAGTTCAGATGCACAGGAGGGACTAGAGATGGTTACTGTTGAAGTCAGATCGCCTTCTCTACCTGATGTTCCTGTTAATCCAATGGCACAAGAGACACAGGAAGAGAATCATGATGCTTCTACTTCCACAGAAACTAATACAGATGTATCTCATGAAGTTCCAGTTAGTTCAGATGCACAGGAGGGACTAGGAATGGTTACTGTTGAAGTCATCTCGCCTTCTCTACCTGATGTTCCTGTTAATCCAATGGCACAAGAGACACAGGAAGAGAATCATGATGCTTCTACTTCCATAGAAACTAATACAGATGTATCTCATGAAGTTCCAGTTAGTTCAGATGCACAGGAGGGACTAGGAATGGTTACTGTTGAAGTCAGATCGCCTTCTCTACCTGATGTTCCTGTTAATCCAATGGCACAAGAGACACAGGAAGAGAATCATGATGCTTCTACTTCCACAAAAACTAATAGAGATGCATCTCATGAAGTTCCAGTTAGTTCAGATGCACAGGAGGGACTAGGAATGGTTACTGTTGAAGTCAGATCGCCTTCTCTACCTGATGTTCCTGTTAATCCAATGGCACAAGAGACACAGGAAGAGAATCATGATGCTTCTACTTCCACAGAAACTAATACAGATGTATCTCATGAAGTTCCAGTTAGTTCAGATGCACAGGAGGGACTAGGAATGGTTACTGTTGAAGTCACCTCGCCTTTTCTACCTGATGTTCCTGTTAATACAATGGCACAAGAGACACAGGAAGAGAATCACGATGCTTCTACGTCCACAGAAACTAATACAGATGCATCTCATGAAGTTCCAGTTAGTTCAGATGCACAGGAGGGACTAGAGATGGTTACTGTTGAAGTCAGATCGCCTTCTCTACCTGATGTTCCTGTTAATCCAATGGCACAAGAGACACAGGAAGAGAATAGAGCTTCTACCTTTCCCACAGAGACTACACTACATGCATGGAGTCTCAGTGACAAGCTATCACAGTTAAGTCATCGAAATGCACAGCGACGGATGGGAACCTAGGACATTGGCTAACTGTTAAGTCATCTCGCTTCTTCTACCTGTAATTGTTTCCTGTAATGAATGGCACAAGAGACACAGAAGAGTTAATGAAGTGCTGCTACTCTGCTACAAATATACTGTACAGATGTATCCTCAGAAAGCTTCCACGTTAGTTTCAGATGCACCAGTCCGGGACATCTAACGTTAGAAATGGTTCACTAGTACTGAAGCTCATCTTCGCCGTGCGTCTACACATAGATTAGTTTTCCTGTGTAAAATCCATGGCACAAGAGACACAGGAGCTTCGCTCACATGATGCTCTAAGTCTACTTCACAGAACCCACTAATACACGAACTGCCTATTCATGAAGTTCCATGTGATCATGATCTTATTCTGTCTGCAAGGATGCACACGGAGGTACCTAGGAATGTTACTGTTGAGTCATCTCGCCAGTCAGTCATCTCGCTACGCACACTTCACCGAATTTCTGCTTAATCACTAAGCGCGCACCAAGAGACACAGGAAGAAACTCATGGATGGACCCTCTACTTCACAGAAAACCTTAATACAGAACTGATATTCTCATGATACAGTAAGTTCCACGTTACCTTTCCATAGGATGCACAGGAGGGACTAGGAATGGTTACTGTTGAAGTCACCTCGCCTTCTCTACCTGATGTTCCTGTTAATACAATGGCACAAGAGACACAGGAAGAGAATCATGATGCTTCTACGTCCACAGAAACTAATACAGATGCATCTCATGAAGTTCCAGTTAGTTCAGATGCACAGGAGGGACTAGGAATGGTTACTGTTGAAGTCACCTCGCCTTCTCTACCTGATGTTCCTGTTAATACAATGGCACAAAAGACACAGGAAGAGAATCATGATTCTTCTATTTCCACAGAAACTAATGCAGATGTATCTCATGAAATTTCATCTAGTGCACTTGCACAAGAGGCAACAATTAGAGTTCAAAATTCCTTGCCTTCTCTGTCTAAAGATTCTCATGGTGCTTTTTTTATTGAAGCTGAAACAGATGCATCTCATGAAGTTCCATTTAACCCCAACCTCCAGGAAAGCAAGGCAACGACTACTGGTAAATTCGCATCGTCTTCTCTTCTTGACACCTCAGTCAATCAAATGACTCGGGAAGTACATGAAGAAGAAAATGGCGCTTCTCTTCCTATGGAAACTGATACAGATGCATCTTTTGAAGTTCTAGCGAACCAAAGCGTACAACTGGCACTAGAAAAGGTCGCTAGCGAGGTCTCTTTGTCTTCTCTTCTTGATGCTTCAGCTAATCCAATGGCACAGAAGACTGAAGAGAAGGTTGATGGTGCTTTTCTTTCTTTGGAAACTGATCCAGGTGCGACTCATAAAGTTGCATCAGCCAAAAACACACGAGAAAGTCAAGAAGTGGTTGAAAAAGAGATAACTCCGCCTTCCTTGCCTGATGTTGCTCAGGTTGTTAATGACGCTGGAGAAGCCTCCGCATCTTCACTTCTTGACGTTCCAATCAGTCAAATGGTACAGATGGGTGAAGCAGAGCCGAATCATGGTTCTTCTTATATAGGGCCCATGGTAGATTCACCTTCTGAATATCAAGGAAATCAAAACGTACAGGAACCACCAGAAAAGGTCGGTAAGGATTCAAGTTCGTCTTCTCTTGCAAATGTTCCGACGGCACAGCATCCACAAGAAGAGGAAAATGATGCTTCTCTTCCTAAGGAAACTATTACAGAAACTGAAACAGAGGCGTCTTTCCAAGCTCCAGAAAGCCATTATGTACAAGATAGTCAACAGAATGTCGCTAAAGTGCTCACAACATCGTTGCTTCTTGATGATCAGGTCAGCCCAGTAGCACAGGAGGCACGAGAAGAGGCACAAGAAGAGGCACAAGAAGAGGCACAAGAAGAGGCACAAGAAGAGGCACAAGAAGAGGCACAAGAAGAGGCACAAGAAGAGGCACAAGAAGAGGCACAAAAAGAAGTTGAGGGCCTTCCTCTTTTTGTAAAAACTGAAAGAGTTCCATCATCTGAAGCTCTAGCTGTTCCAAAAGTACAGGAGGAACGAGAGGATGCTAATAGTGTACCACTTCCCAACGAAACCGGGGTTCTGACTGACATTGCCAACAATGAAGCAAATGAAGACAATCCTGGTAAACAACAACCATCGTCTACCGTTTGGAAAAATAAGGAGGGTGCCACTTCTAATGTTCCATCTCATCAAATGCCAATTCAGAAAAAAGTTAAGGTTGCGAATGAGCTGCCTACGTCATCCATCACGATGAAAACGACTACGACTGCATATAATGATGTTAAAATCCCCCTAGCTGATAAATTAGCATCATCGAAAGTGCGGAAGCATAGTGAAAAAGAGGCATCTCCCGCTGCTTTAAAAGCAAAAAAGGATTCAACAAAGAGTGTTATAACAGATAATTCACCAGGTAAGCTGAGACATGTTGTTGCTCTAACCTCGTTCGTATATAGTTTATAACTCACTTTGTTCACTACATTTTACAGTTACTTACTAGCGAAGAAAAAGGTTTACGTACACAGACATATATAAACCTCTATCAAACGATTGTAAAATGTAATCATACTTGAAATTTCTTGAAAGAGGAAGCTATAAGATTTAATCTTAATGCTGATTAAAATGAGCTTGTTTATTGGTTCTTGCTTTCCTACTGGTACAAAGTGAACTAATTATAAATAACCTATCAAATTTAAGGTAAAATAGATCTTGCTGAAGTCCTGAAAGTCTTGAAATCTGCAACGCAAGGAGAGAAAGTTAGTGCATTTTGGGCTGATAAGATTGCCAAGACATACCGTTTGCTTGCTGCAGAAGATAAAAAACGAAAAGAGAAGCTGTCCGAAAATAATGATATACCGATGTCAAAAACTGGTAGCGCTGAAACTCGACGACATTTTGAACAAGGCAACAACAAGGATGCAGCAAAAGCTGCGAAGATCAAAAAGAGTCTTGGATCCGAGGTAAAAAATTACTTTAAGATATCATCCAGATATCTTGCCAAATTAGTAGATTTGCATTACAAAAAAGAGTTGGGGAATAAAAGCTTTACAAGTTTAAATTTGAAGATTGTAACTCTATAGTCTTTCCTTTAGATTTGGAAATCAGAGACAAGAGGCTCACATGACCCAACGACTGCTGGAAAATCTTTGCCTCTGATAGACAAAATAATCAGGGGTTTCAACTCTGGAGAGGATAAAAAGGTTGCCAGTGAATCACCTAAAGATTTTGACATGGGTGTAGCTATCGTTGAAAGCAAAGAAGAACCTATTAAGGCAAGTGATGTTTGGTTGTTGTTTTCTAATAAACTGCAAATTTTCATCTTAAAGAATAAGAATTAAAGAAAATGGCACTTTAAAAGGAAATTTGAAATAAGAATCAAAATTAAAGTGAGTTCAACGTAAACAACTGAAGTTTTTAAATATCTTTTTTTCCATTTCATCAAGCAAAATTTAGACGACAGACTCAAGTTGTGTTTCCTTTTTTCCAGTATGTTCGGAACACGCCCTTCTCTTCCAGGTTGTAATTTGCGTTCTGTTTGAACCAGGGGTGTATGTTGACTGACCCCTAAATAAACTCATCATATGATTTTAAAAATAAAGCAGATAAACTTTTGGCAATTTTACGATATATGGTACGTAATATACAAATAGTTTTCTGATGTTTTCTTTCTTTTGATGTTTTAGGTACTGCCTCAGAAGTCAAGGAAGACTCTGCAGAATGTGAACTAAAGATTGGCATAAATTTGTGTATATAGTTGTTTAAATTTAACTTTTGAAGTAATCTATGAGCTTCAATTTGTAAATAACTTTTGATATTGTCTCTAACATGGCTGCTTATTATTCAAAGGGCCCTCTTCTTGTGTTTGTCTATAAATGTTCCAAACATGCTATAATTTCGTTAATATCCGAGTTTAGTTTGAAATATGTCAAAGTTCTTGAAGAATCAAGATGGCAAAAAAGAATATTTTTCAAAAGTCCTAAATACCGTACTTGTAAGCAAAGCTAATAGCGAGCCAAAATAATAGTCAGCATTAAATTTGAAAATCGATTTTTAACAACAAGGTTTTTTGCAAATACTACTTCTCAATCGCATAAAGGAAATTGAACGATCTCACCCGACTTTATTATTCTTTTAGATAGCCAGTAGACCAAATAAAACTCTCCATTTTTTCTAAGGCCAGTTAACTCTCGTATCATTTTAGTTACGTATTAAAACAATAAATTGGAAACAAGAGAGAACACAATAATAAAAGTTCCATAATGGGACAGTAGCTGCATTGCCCCAATATTCACCGGTGGCCAATTTTTACTTGCTTGCAAGAGTGCCTTTCTCATTCCACATGGCTTCGAATTGTGGATGATGAGAATAGAGAGGGTGAAACTTTAGTGTGAGCAAGGGTAAGTTGGGTAGAGTAAAGGGCAATATGTCGCTATAGCCTGCATGGAATGATCTAATGGAATAGGTTGCTACGTAGCTACTGGCTACGTAGGACGCACCACCCAAAGATTGGAGGGTAGGATAAAACAACACGTTCCATCTAATATTAGAAACAAAACACATCCCCAAAGAGAACAGCCACCTCGGTCTTGCAAATCCAAAATTACTAATAAGACCTGCGATTCTGCTATCGGGCAGCATTTGCTAGAAAACCCAGTTTGTGCAAAAAACTATAATGGCGACATGTTTCGGATTATTGGTTAAGCACGA